ATAAATAATATTTGATTTAGAACGCTTCTCCTTTCCCATTAGAACGCTCTTTCAGGTTACTGTAGGTATCAGATATTACTTAACTTGTTGTCTAAGTAATTGTAGCTTTATATAGCTATTTATTTATAAATCATTGCCTTTGTTAATGTTGTTGTTAGAAATATTCTGTGAAGATGAGATTTGCTTATGAATCATTGCCTTTGTTACATAGACAAATGCTTTTATTATAAATGTGTTTGTTCATTGATATGTTCATAAACGTGTTTGTTTGATAGTTTAAAAAAAATCATTAAATATATTCGCTAACATGCTCAATGTAATCGTTTGTTAGGAAGCTTGATAAAGCTCTTTTGTTAAGTTAATGAACATCTAAAAGTAGAGCTCGTTTATAGCTCGTTCATGTTTGTTTGTTTAAAGCTCGATAAGCACTAAACGAATCGAACATGAACTGAATATGAACCGAACATGAACGCTCGTTAATTTAAATGAACCAAACATGAGCACAAACAATAAAGCTCGAATAAACATAAACCAAACTTGAACAAGTTGATATTAAATGAACACAAACATGAACACTCACATACTCGGCTTGGCTCGGTTTGTTTGTAGCCCTAATATTTTCTCAGTTTGGGTGAGAAGTATATTGTCAATCATTGGCTTGAGGGTCTCAGGGTATCCCCTGTTGCTTTGGAGAAATTATTCGGTGCGGACACCGGACGGAGAGAACCGTCCGTATTTGCCGCACTTTTGCAAAAAGGACAGCAAAAGGGCAACAAATATTCAATTATGAATGCATTTTTATTGCACTTTTACTGCAATTAAGCAAAAACGCAACAAATATTCAATTATTTAGTAAATATTAAATATTTACTGCCCTTTTGCAAAATCGCAGCAAAAGAGCAGTAAAAACACAACAAATTTGGACGGTTCTCTCCGTTCGATGTCTGCACAGAATAATTCGTCGTCGCTTTGGCCCTTGGCAGGCTACTGTAATTTTCTTTTAAACTGATAATGTGTAAGGCCATTTTTGGATTGGAGATGCTCAGAATAGAGATGCTCCATCAGCGCTTGGAACGGTTTTTTATTACTTCGTACAGCAAGTTTTTCGTTAAAAAATTTGTTGAAAGTAATAAAAAATCAGTGGTAAAAAATTGTCTCAAATGAAGTCGAATTTCAAATTATTTTCCAACTTAATAAATCTAACTTGATATATATATTTTTTTTCTTTACTTTAGCTATTTTATATATACTCAAATATCTGAATCATTCATTATAGATCTGCGAATTCACTTGGCTTATACAAATAATCATATCATATCAAAACACAACTCCAGCAAAGTGCAAGAACATGTTCTTATGTGATTAAATTATAATGCCGATAGTTTTTTTTTTTTTTTTTGAAAAAAATTCGTTGTCTACCGTCAATTTATAATTTAATTTTGAAGAGTTTTTTGGTTGTATGGTACTAATGCTTCTTGCTTCTACGTGTTGCTCTACAGGTCCAATCAAAACAATAAGAGAAGCTTCTGAGAATAATGTACTAAGTGATTATTATCTATGGGAGTAATCCCATCATTATTAGCACACTTTACTTTACTCATTATAAGATAAATGTATAATTTTTTTGTCTTTCCCGTTTAAACCCAAAAAAAAAAAATTTAGTGCAGCGTTGTAAGTTATTTAAGCTGTAGCAACATTTTGATTGGTAATTACGATCTTATCCAGTAGAATTTTTTAATAATATTTGTCAGCATTAATTGATGCCTCTTGTATATGGAACTTTTATTTTATCCAGTGAACGTACGCTCCTCTACGTTCGGATCTAGGCAAAAAAAGCGCAATACCGAGTACCGAGTTGTACCGAGTTTTTTAAAAAAACTCGGTATTGCGCTGTTTTGGTCTAAAACCGAACGTAGAGGAGCGTACGTTCACTGGATGTAATAAAAGTTCCCTGTATATGGGGTAGAGCTGAAAGTTCATTATTTTTATCATGCCTAATCTTTTGATTATTTCTTTCTGTGTGTAAAGACTGGGAAAAAAGATTTTTCTTAAAATATCCTTAAATAGAAATAACTTTTTAATATTTTTCCAGAACCTTTCATTATTTAACAATTCAGAATATGATGGAATTGGCTTGGGAGCATGTGCATCTTTGCATATGGAGTTCTCTGCATAATTTTGTGATCAGCTGCACCTGTTTTTGTTCTAGTCTGTTATGCTTGGCCAAATTTTGTTCTTTCTTGGTCAAAGCTTGATGTAATTTTTCTTCGTAATTTTTGGCGGATTAATATACGGGCAAAGTCCAAATTTTTCCAAAAAAAAAGAGAAAAGAATATGATGGAATCAGTCGGATCTTAAACTTATTTGTAATCATTTTCTATCTACTTAAATTTTTGGCAAAAGATAAAAATATTTTAGTGCGAGAGTTCTTACATGAAAAATGATAAAAATTAGTTCTATTACAATAATTGTTTTCATAAGTGATAAATTCAAAAAAAAAAAAATTTCATATTAAGCAAATAAATCTTATGTGTGACGTCATTGTTATCATCGATTGTAATAACTTCATGTTGTAGTTTAGTTAGGGGTGTCAATTTCGGGTCACGGGTCAGATTCGGGTTGAGGCCCGGCGCTATTCGGGTCAACATGAACCTGTCTCATTTTTGAAAACGGGTTAGTTTTTCGAACCCGAACTTGACCTGCTTCGGGTCTGGGTCAACCCGACACGACCCGAATGATCAGTTTCCAACAAAATATTGCTAGTTTTCGGGTCAAAAATAGGTCTATCTCCTCTTTTTCGGATAAAAATGGATAAAAATAGGGTCAATCTCGGGTTGCCGGGTCAAAATTGGGTTTTCGGGTCAAAACGGGTCAATTTCAGGTCAAAGTGTTAACCTGGAGTCGATCCGATTTTTGAAACGTGTCGAAATGTTCAGCCCGAACCCGACCCTTTTTCGGGTTCAGATTGACCTTAACCCGAAATTTTCGGGTCGAATTTTCAGGTCGTGTCAAATATTGACACCCCTAAGTTCAGTCATCTCTTTAATCTTTTGATGTGTATTTGGTTGCCTTTAATTATTACTTTCTTGAGATCTCTTTTAAGGTGCTTAGATATCTGTTATTAACCTCAGAACTATAATAACCTATATTAAGCTAAATCCGATTTAGATTGCCCGTCTCGATTTCCTTTTCCTAACCTCACACAATGTTTAAATGCTTGACGGTTATGCAATCAATTTTAATTAAATCAAATTAAACTTCAAGGTTATGCAATCAATTTAAAAATGATATTTTTTTAATCTAAATGACCTCAAATTTTCAAAGATTGAACTTGAGCATGGTGTCATGATGGCACACACATTCATCTAATGAGCTGTCAACATTCATTCGTATTATAAATACAATCAACCGTGGCTTTCTTAAGGGCATCTTTATATTGATGGTATGGATGAGATGCCTCACAATAGTCCTCTCACGCATGAGAAATTATTTTGCGAGGAGGTTGGACACAGAATGTCATCCAAAGATCAACTAGAAAGCGCAATGTCAGCGGTACCGTGCCGCGGTACCGAGGGGTATCGAGCAGCACCGAGCCGTAATACCGAGCACAAGGCTGACATAGCGCATTCTGGTTGGTCTCCGAATAACATTCGATGTCTGCGTAGAATAATTAATCCTTACGTGCATCCATGATGATGATTGTCTCATGAGATGCCCATGAAAAGCATCCCTTAAATGTATAAGGAAAAAAGAACTTTCCATGAACCTTTAATTTCTATGAATTGAATTGAATTGAAGTGTTACTCAAAATGCTCCTAAATGTTTGAAGATATCCCTAAGATCTTTAACCAAATCCCTCATGAAAACATAGAAGATTCACAATGTATTACATCCATCCAATAGTTTTATACTAATCAGCAGTCTGTTGATATCATGCCCATGATACTTATAGCATAATACTCATTAACCTAATCTAACCAACCTTTATTGTTTTTTTTTTTTTCTTCAAATAAAAATGTTTCCCAATTTAATGTTAACCAAAATCTAACATAAAAATATTTCATAATTACTTATGTATTGTCTTATCTTAAAAATAAAATTTAAATTTCTATAATAAATAGTCAAATAATTTATCTAGATTTAATAATATTCAATAGTTATTATGTCAAATAATTTTTCAAAAATTTAATTGCTTTAGAAGTAACTAAGGATCTATTTGACATGGTTGTATAACTTTATAAATGTGGTTGTAAAGTTATTGCGGGGAAAATAATATTTTTTTAAAGTTGTTATGAATAATATAAATATGTTATTTAAAATTTATAATAATAATTTTTTAAAGTTATCACATGTTAACAAATTATGGTTGTAAAAAGCTGTTTCTCATCACAAAAGTTTTTAGAAAGCAACTAGAAAATAATAGCCTAACAGAATCACGATTACTCTCTCTAATCTTATCTACAACCGGAGCTACTCCACTTTTTTTACCTATATGCGCACTTCGTATTGTAACTCTAACAGTAAAGCCAATCATCTATTCGAGCATCCACAACACTAGGGCTGCAAACGAACCGAGCCGAGCCGAGTATGTGAGTGTTCATGTTTGTGTTCATTTAATATCAGCTTGTTCAAGTTTGGTTCATGTTTGTTCGAGCTTTATTGTTTGTGTTCATGTTTGGTTCATTTAAATTAATGAGTGTTCATGTTCGGTTCATGTTCAGTTCATGTTCGTTTGTTTAATGTTTATCGAGTTTGTTCACGAACATATTTAACAAATTTTTTCTAACTATCAAGCAAACATGTTCATGAACATATCTACGAACAAACACATTTATAATAAAAGCAATTGTCTATGTAACAAAGGCAATGATTATTTATATTTATTAATTATATAGTCAAATATTAATTATTTGTATTGAGCTTATTCACGAGTTCAAAATCGAACACGAATCGAGCTTAATGTCGAGCTTGTTCACGAACTTCAAATGATATTGTTCGCGAACATAAATGAGCTGAACACATTAGTGTTCAAGTTTGTTTATTTAAGAATCGAGTATTTAAAATATTGTTCAAATTTGTTTGTTTAGTTAATTAAACGATCACAAACGAGCTTTAATCAAACCGAACAACGAGTAGCTCATCGAACGTTTGGTTTGCTTGCAGCCCTTCACAACACTTAACTTGATTTAATGCATAAATGTGTTATTTAGGTTTTTTTTTTTTGCAAAAATGTATTATCATCTAGAAGATAACAAGGGAGCAATTAATGGAAGTTAAAAGTTAAAAGAGTGTATTTTATTGTTTAGAATAGCTCTCATCTCAAAAGTGAGAGTTCAGATACACAACTAGACAACAAGCGTGCATTTTCAGAGCTAAGAAGTCGTAAATGGCCATCAGCCATCTATATCGGCGGTTGATCGGCGCATTTCCTTTTTGGCAGGACCTTGCAAGGGTCTCCCCCGTTGATCATGGGGACCTTCCACATCCCATTTTCCCACCAATAATGCAACTGGCATCTCTCATAGAATATCCAGGCGCAGTAGAAATAGTAGATTAGAAAACCCCCCTCGGCGGGGTTGTATAGCTCCATGCATTTTGGAAAGACTGCTAGATAGCATTTGTAGACCGGATTATCCTTTCCGAAATCTGCATAGGATCCTTTCTTCAATTTGTGAAGATACCTGAAGAGCCTTCGGAAGGACAGCATCCCGTCCTTTAGGGTTCGAAATGGGTTCAATATTGAATCCACGATCCAGTTTATCACCGTATCCATCCGCGCTCTTGGATTTGAGATGAAGAAAGACAGTTTATCGTAGATCCATTTGGCTGCTGTTAGCAGATAGCGGAAGATATCGCCGGTGGGGGGGAGGCCTATGATCTTGAGTATTTCATCGATGATTCTGTGTCTGATTTTGTTCAGAAAACCAAAAAAATCTCCCAATGATTTATTGCTCCCGTTCTTTGGCCAAGAGATCGTGGATCTTTCTGTTTCCGACGTTGCAGTGATTGATTTCGTTGAAGAGGATGACAATGAGGCCGTCGCCTGATGGGATGAGAGGGCGAAGATGACGACGAGGAGGCTAATGGAGAGGGTGAAGTAGCTCATTAGCTGCAGAAGCCCCCTGCTCGCCATCTTCTTCGTCGATCGAGGTAATGGATTGATTCCGTGATCTTTTCCTCGTACATTGCTGAACTATTTATAGATTTGACGGATTTTGGATCTAAAGTGCGTAGTTGTTACAAGTTTATTAAAACCATCGATCGATCTAGCTCTAGGATTTGTTCATTCATTCTATATTAATTGAGAAACTGAGAACCGCACGCGCGTTTTGGAAACCTGCATCGATTAATTTATTGAAACAATTAAGGAAATAAAACAACTGATCAATTTAATCATGGCTAGTTAAGGGTGGATCTCTAATGGAGGAACAGGGGGAAATGGTATTAGGGTTCCTTGTCGATGGATTAGGAAGAACTGTACATTAATTACCAGTTTAATTAACCTAGCTTGAATTTATTTTTTGCGTTACCGGCGTGATTAATGTCGTAATTATTGCTTTCGGTTTTAACCCTTAGATATATCTCCTAATTTTTCCCCTTCACATAGTGTTAATCTATTTTTCTTACTTTTCCATGGCCTATTCCCTGCTTCTTCTTGACTGCCAATCCATCTCTTTCCATCGGCAAATTATTACGTCCATCGACGAATCCAGACACGTCACGTCATCAAAATATACTGGG